GGGGGGGCGGGGGAGGGGACCTTGCTCACTCTAGATTAAAAGCATAAAGAGACCAGATGTGATGGGTGGACTTCATGTGGACCCTGATTAAAACAAAATTACTGTCCAAGGGCATTCCTGACCTTCAGGGAAATCTGATTTTGCCTGGGTATTAAGTGATACCAAGGAATCATGGTTTATTTTGTTAGGTGAAATAATAGCATTATGGTTTATACAAGAAAACGACCATATTTTCTAGAGATATTTACTGAAGGATGTAGGGGTAAAAGGACATGCTGTCTGGGATTTTAAATTTTAAAGCTTTTAAATGCTTTAGCAAAGAAAAGAGAAATGGAGAATTATATGAAGTAACTGATGTAAAATCTTGATAATTGTTAAATCTGAGTGCATAAGGGTTCAATGTACTATTCACTTTACTTTTAGATATGCTTAAATTTGTTCATGTTCAAAAATTCATGTGAGGGGCGCCTGGGTGGCTCAGCCGGTTAAGCGGCTGCCTTCGGCTCAGGTCATGATCTCAGGGTCCTGGGATCGAGTCCCACATCGGGCTACCTCCTCAGCGGGGAGCCTGCTTCTCCCTCTTCCTCTGCCCCTCCTCATAGCTCATGCTCGTGCTCTCTCTCTCTAATAAATAAATAAAATCTTTAAAAAATTAAATAAAAAAATAAAAATTCATGTGAAAAAATTGAAGCACTGAGCTAAAAATCTCTGGTAATAAAATGTCTAAAAGTTCCCAAATCTATAATATAGGAAAGAGTTATGAAAACACAATGCAGGGCACCTGGCTGGCTCAGTTGGAAGAACATGCAACTCTTGACCTCAGGGTTTTGAGTTTGAACCCCAGGTTCGGTGTGGAGATTACTTAAAAAATAAAATCTTTGGGCGCCTGGGTGGCTCAGTTGGTTAAGTGACTGCCTTCGGCTCAGGTCATGATCCTGGAGTCCCTGGATCGAGTCCCGCATCGGGCTCCCTGCTCAGCAGGGAGTCTGCCTTGGTTAAGTGACTGCCTTCGGCTCAGGTCATGATCCTGGAGTCCCTGGATCGAGTCCCGCATCGGGCTCCCTGCTCAGCAGGGAGTCTGCTTCTCCCTCTGACCCTCTCCCCTCTCGTGCTCTCTCTCATTCTCTCTCTCAAATAAATAAATAAAATCTTTAAAAAAATAAAATAAAATCTTTAAAAAAAAAAGGGGGGGGAGTTTGCCTTTTCCTCCAAAAAAATTTCTAAGAAGTACCAATTCTGCATCTCCCAGCAGCCACAGAATCTGGGCGGCTCTTGTCTCTCTTCATACGGAGAGTGTACTTCATATCCACAGGGCAAACTGACAGTACGGGTCTCTCCCCAGCCAACAGATCCAACCAAGAACTGGCTTCAGAGAGCTCAGCCTCCTTGTCCTGTTTCCATATGGTTTTTCTGATTGGGGCCAGGGATGGGTGGGGAGGGAAAGTTTGCTTGTTGTAACATACAGATTTTTCTGGTCTCTGAAACAAGGTGGGTTACAAAGATGAGCCCTGTTAAATCCTGCCACCATAATGCTTCAAGGGATTAACACACCTTCCTTGGACAGATATATATTTATATATATTCTTTAAATCTATATTCTAATCTTATTCATAAGTACATTCCATGGGGCGCCTGGGTGGGTCAGTTAGTTAAGCATCTGCCTCCGGCTCAGGTCATGATCTCAGGGTCCTGGGATCCAGCCCCGCTTCAGACTCCCTGCTGGGCAGGGATCTGCCTCTCCCTCTCCCTCTGCCCCTCCCCCTGCTCATGCCCTCCCTCTCTCTCTCTCTGTCTCAAATAAATAAATAAAATCTTTAAAAAATTAAATTAAGCTCTCAAATAAATAAATCTTTTTAAAAGTAAATTAAGTTAAAAAAAAATACATTCCTGGGGCGCCTGGGTGGCTCAGTCGTTGGGCGTCTGCCTTCGGCTCAGGTCATGATCCCAGGGTCCTGGGATCGAGCCCCACATCAGGCTCTCTGCTTGGTGGGAAGCCTGCTTCTCCCTCTCCCACTCCCTCTGCTGTGTTCCCTCTCTCGCTGTGTCTCTCTCTGTCAAATAAATAAATAAAATCTTAAAAAAAAAAAAAATACATTCCTGAGGCACCTGGGTGACTCAGTTGGCTGAGTGTCTGACTCTTGGTTCCGGCTCAGATCATGATCTCATGGTTGTGCGATCGAGCCCCACATCAGGCTCCGCACTCAGTGCAGAGTCTGCTTCAGATTCTGTCTCCCTCTCCCTCTCTAAAATAAATAAATAAAATCTTTAAAAAATAATAATAAGTACATTCCTGAGTTCCTTCAAAGAACACTGGTATTGTAATTTTTAAGTAATAGATTACTTTATATTCCATTTTACCCCTATCAGTGACACACAGAATAAATAGAGCTCATTATGGGATAAAAACTCAGTAGCTTCTAACTTAGTGGCTATAGACCCTCAGTTCAGGAGTCACGAACTGCAAATGATTTTAAAGAATGACCCTTAATTCCTCCTTAACGCAGAAAGTCAAATAATTATCTGGCAAGTTGGTCACTGTGACAGTGAAACCTTATATTGCCCTAAGGTGCCAGAGGCCATTGTTAAGACACTTGTCCTCTCCTTCAATCCCTCTCTGAAGAGGATAAAACAAGACAGCTTACCCATTTTCTGTGACTTTTGTAATCTAACTACTTAGCTAAAATAGCAGCTACAATCCAAATCAACTTCAGCATCGTAAGAATTGTTATAGATGGTTAAAACCATTTACCTATAGAGTTCACCATTCTTCTTCTACCTTCTAATTATTCTCCAACACAATGCATTGATTGGTAAAGTCACCATCATCACTTGAATTTCTGGGTTATAAAATGTGTGCATACTCCCCCATCCCAATTTCTGGGCTTTAAGAATGCTATTTCTCTCTTTGAATATCATTAATATAATTCCCTGAGTTGGTTTACTTTATGTAAAAAAAAATACAGAAAGAATTTTTTTCATTAGAAATAATGAAAAATCCTCAGGCTCAAGTTTAAATCATTTTGTAATTAAGCACTAATTGTACAAAAGACTGTTCAAAAGGGGAGCTTAAATTGACAACTGAATTTGTTCATGTGAACTGCCTTCCACATACATGATGGCAAGATGTGCATCAGGTTTGACGTGCATCGGGTTTGACATCCATTTTGGAAGCAATCACACAGAAGCAGCTGCTTTTTCAATAAACTTGGCCAGTTTCACATCTCTCTTGGTCAGTCCACCACAGTCGTGTGACGTTAGGGTTATCTGCACCTAAGAAACACAGAAGCGGTTTTTCAAACCTGGAGCTGCAATTCATGGTTCTCATCTTGGGTGGTTTGGAAATCAATCTATTATTCAACATTCACATTTCAGAATTGGGGAGATTAAATGATTTACAAAATACTACATTATGAATAAGCACAGCATTTCCAAAACTGAATAAACTCTGGGGGCACAGTCTGCTTCGGGCTGGGCCCAGCAGCCGCCCAGGGATAAAAAGGTCCTCTCATGTGAAGGGCAATTCAGCTGCCAGAATCTGAAATCTTGTCTCTCAAAAAAAAAAAAAAGAGAGCCCGAGAGAGACTAAGGTTCCATTTTAACTCCCATTACTTTAATTACACGACTATTTTCAGGCCACTGAGAAAGACCAAGCTATCAAATGTAGTGTCTTAGCAACTACGTTCAGAAAAGCCCATTTCCAAATTAGAGAAGTGGGACGGGGTGGGGTGGGGTGGAGGAACAGACTGTGGCTTCTTGAAAAATCAATTAAAAAGTACAAGCAAAATTATGAACAAAGAGAGGCAAGTAGGAAGGAAAAGTTTATCATGGTACCTGCATATTCTGAATTATTCCAATAAATCACAAGTACATCAAGAAATGTTCTCTTTTTTCAAAGGGAATTAAAAAAAAAAAAAACAAACAGAACCACATAGAAATCTAGACGATATTTCAAATGGCATGACCATAAAGGCAAGGACATTTGGGATGGAGGGGGGAGACCATGATTCTTCTTACTGAGCCCCCTTAAAAACTACTTAAAATCTTTTTAGCCTGCTCTTTGTCTTAAGAAGGCCAGTTCCCACTTAGAATGTAGAATTTAATAAACAGTTATTTTTAAAGCACAGTTCTTGAGCATAATTATTTCAGTAAGTTAAATAAGGCCATCTCTCTCTTATTTGCTACCATTACTTTCAAAAATTTATCTTAGGAGGGTATAAAATTTATCTGCATGGCTCATTTTCAAGTTTAATTCAGGAGCTTAATTTGGCCCAACTAACTCATATTAGTTTCAGTAGAAGACAAGCATGAAAATAAAGAATTTGGTCACTGCTGTCTTGAGCAGATTGGAAAATTTGTTACTAATTTGCAGTAATACCCAGGGATCCTCAGTGAAAGAATAAGAGAATGCTTTCCTAAGCACAATGACACTTGACACATCCCTGCATAGGATAACAAGGAAGAATGGCGTTTCTTAAACTCCATAGCTAAGGTGATCCCCAAATAAGGCAATTTAGTTACCTTGTTGTACACATTGAACCATTCCGGGTGATGATTCATCTTCTCTGCTTGCAGGGCAACTCGGGACATAAAGCCAAATGCCTGCATAAGATGAAGCTGAAACTGATTAGTGGCATTGCCCTCTACTCTGGACCTGGGGGGGGGGGAGAGAGAGAGAGAGAGACCAGAACAATCCAGCCAGATAAAGACAAGGCTAGGATCCTTAGGGAAACCTGGAGAAATCAAATATGAAAAGGATTGCTCTCCACAGAGCTGGGGTAACAGTGTAGCAGGACCGTGACCTGCTGCTCAATGGTGAAAAATAATCAGGCTCAAATAAACAAACCAGGAAATTGGTCTTACCCAGTGACCTGTCTGGACTGTTTTAATTGTCCTCAGGACAAGACTCGCCAAAATAGCACAAGAGTAATTTCCCTCCAACCAAGTGCCCTGGCCCCAAATCTTAGGGGCTACTTTTCTTGCATCACCACCCCTTTTGTGTTTGGTCGCTGGGTTGCTAACTAAGTCATCAATCCCAAGACTATGGAAAAATATCTTACTGAACAACTTCCCCATCCTAGCTCCCAGACAGGACAGGAGGGGATAAAAGATTTTTTTGACATCTAGAGTGAAACAGGGACATCTGGGTTGCCTGCTCTGGGTCTCCTTGCTATTGCCCAGCAATGCCATGTGGAAGAGAAAGCGCTCCTCCCCCGGGCAGGGGGTGGTGGACTCAGGCACACGCGTAAGTGCGGACCTGTAGGGCTCAGTCTTCATTCCATAGGGAAAGTGCAAACCTAATTTTGCTAAGCAGAGGCAAACTTGTCCTGAGAGGATGAAAAGCTTTTTTTCTTTTGCTTGCTTTCCAATTTTTATGAAGGTAACTGCAAACAATAGGAGGGTCTGTCTCTAATTGTCCAGAAGACAGAAATACTTGGTAAGACTCTAAGGTAATGGTACATTAACTACAAATTTACAGTGGAATTCACAGGGCAGTACCCATTGTAGCCATATAAATAAATATTTAATTTCATTACCCCCATCCAGAAAAACCGATGTGATGGTAGTTGAGCTATGTTTTTTGGATCACCAAATTAGAGCACATTTCCAAGTTAAGAGTGAGAAGTAGGGAAGATGTCATTTTAAACCATTCTATGTTATTCATAATGGTTTTTATGTCAGAATGATTTTATTCAGGATAAAAACTCCCATTTTGGTCTTTAATTAGAGGCCTGAAGGCTTTTCCCTGTCAGGAAAAGGAGGAACATTCAAGCAAAATCCATTTAACCATGTATGGAATTATCAGTGGAAAACAATATTCACTCTCCCCTTCCTCTTCTCATCTCATAATCTGATTCTCTAGATTGTGTCAAATGTGAAATTCAGAGTTAAACTGCATTAAATGATGTATAATGAGAATTTTTTAGTCTATTTTGCCTATAATGCCTTATTCTTGTTTAGCTTCAAGACTACCAAAAAAGCTAATCATAATCCCTGAGAAATAGTAATACAGTCATTAGGGGCATAGGCTTTTGAGCCAGGGAGGCCTGAATTCAAATTCCCAATGTACAACCTGTCATGTGAGCCTCAGTTCTCTGATCAGTAAACTGAGGATAATAATAAAAAGTTCATGTAGTCATCCTAATAAAAAATGAGATAGGGGATATAAAAGCACTTAGCACAGCACTTGGCACTGGGTAAGAGATCAGTAATGGCCAATATGACTACCACATACCACTCTGGCGAGACTGCATATGATAACCCTAACAGAATGTAAGATAGGTGAAAAGCCCTCCCACAGCCTTAAGAATCTAAGATTCCAGTAGCTGTCTCCCAGAAGAATGGTGCTTTCCTATTCCGCATGCCATAAACAGAGACTCAAACCCACACACCAGACAAACAGATCACATACTACAGGGTAACACCCTGATGCACACTGCCTAGGGAAAACACAATAATAACAAGATATTAGGTGGGCAAAGTCAGTCCCTACCCAAGTTCTTAAGCCCTGTGGCCACAATTTCTTTGAACTACGCTATCCTAAAGGTCCAAAGTGATGCTTCGCATCCCTTACTATTTCCCAAGAACCAAGTGGATCAAGGGGATGATTTGAACACAGTCAGAAGTACTCCTCAAATCTTTGATTACCAGCATGCTATCAGCATGGTAGGAAAATCTACTCTATCACAGATACGGCTTAAAAGAAAACACCGCTTGTGGTGCCTGGGTGGCTCAGTCGATTAAGCATCCAACTCTTGATCTCAGCTCAGGTCTCAATCTCTCGGTCCTGAGTTCAAGCCCTGCAATGGGCTCCACACTGGGCATGGAGCCTACATAAAGAGAGAGAACACCCACATTCTAAGAGTTACATTGATCAAAGAAAAACCTTGGGGCGCCTGGATGGCTCAGTCAGTTACATCTGCCTTCTGCTCAGGTCATGATCCCAGGGTCCTGGGATCAAGCCCCACATGGGCTCTCTGCTCTCTGCTCTTGAGCCTGCCTCTCCTCTCCCTCTGCCTCCCTCTCTGCCTACTTGGGTACTCACTCTCTCTCTCTCAAATAAATAAAATCTTAAAAAAAAAAAAACCTGCTAAGATATCTATATACAGTGTAAAAAGAAAAACAAAGGACACTTCCAAAGATCCTCCAAACTTATGTATTCCTTAGCTTTACATATTTCCCTTCAACTGTCACCTAATATTTGCATTTAATAAAATATCATAAGCTTGATAAACCATTTACACAGGATCTACTCCTAATTTTTCCCAAGGGAAGGAACACTTGCTCCTGCTCTGGGAGCAAGGAGATAATTTCATAATCCTTCTTCCATATAACAGAACCAAATAATCCCCAAAATATTTATTTTTAAATCTGCAAATTAAAAACATTCACAACAATACACATTCAAATTAAAGTAAAAGGATTTCTGCAAGAAAGTGAAATGAGTGGATAGGAGAGGAAAAAAAGCAAAACCTCAAAAGGGAAGTTTGATTATCTGGCATTCATAAAGAAGGAATATGACTGAACAGCAAAACGGGCAGATGGTGAAAAGCATCTGTCCCTTCTTTCTAAGATTTCTTTTTTACAGCCCTAGCTAGTTTTTCCCAGGATGCCAGTTGGAACCTACAGGCTTTGAGCTAGGTAAGAGTCCAGGCTTTCTAAAACTATTCCATCAATGAAAACTGCAAAGAGTGTGAGGCAGAATGCACACCACTAACAATACAGTGAGAAGCTGAGAGGACAGGACTAAAAAAATGGACAAAATGAAGTAGAAGTCAGCAAGAATTTGTAACAATTAGAAAATAAGTACATATCGCTTCTCGGCCTTTTGGCTAAGATCAAGTGTAGAAAATAAGTACAGAACACAAAGGAGATCTAACAGATAACTTTTGTGAATAAGACAACAACAAACAAACAAACACAGAAAGAAATGAGAGATGTAATTCAAAAAATTTTTCCAGAAATAAAATATTTAAATTTATAGATTCGAAGAATTCAACCATTTCTAGACATCCTAATGAAGTTAATGAATTTGAAGATTAAAAAGTCCTTTGGCATCTAGCCAAAAAGATCAATTCACCTATAAGGATGAAAATAATCTGACTGACTTCAAACTTCCACATACCAGCCCTGAACAAAAGAAGTCAGAGGAGCAATGCTTATAAAGACTTTAGGAAATCAAAATGCAAAGAATTTTATACCCAGCTAAACTGTTGTTCAAAATTAATACAAGAGACCTAATTTTTAAAAGACGTTAACTCAGGGAATAACTCCCCTTCACCCTTTCTGAGGAAACTTTTATTAAAGGATGAAATACAAGTAATTAGAGATGGATGGAGAAACAATATAAAAGTTATTGGCAGTGAGCAACTAATTCACTCACGTCTAGGAATAAATTTAAAACAATTGTGGGGATTGTAGTCACAGAATGGAATGTAAATGTTATAAACTATTAAAAGATGTGGAAGAAATGGGGAAGGTAGATTAAAGTTTAAAAATTCTAAAAGCTGCAAGATCAGAAGCATATTTCGAAGTATAAAACTAAGCACTAGAAACAAAAAATAAAATGTAACAAAACTGCCTGGTGTAGGGAAAGTAAGAGAAAGTAGAAGTTTAATTTTGATATTGCTTAGTGGGGAGACCACTATCTAAAGAAATGCTATCTAAAGAAACAGAGGATTAAGTTTGCTATGTAAAATTATAGGTATAACAGTATCCACAAGAAGAACAAAAATAATAACAGAAACACTCACAATTAGGTTCAAGGAAAGCACAAGTAAAATAAAGCAAACAAAACACAATCCAGGGCACCTGGGTGGTTCAGTCAGTTAAGCATCTGCCTTCAGCTCAGGTCATGAACCCAGAGTCCTGGGATGGAGTCCCGCATCGGGCTCCCTGCTCAGCAGGGAGTCTGCCTCTCCCTCTGCCCCCTACACCTCCCCCTGCTCGTGTCCTCTCTCTCTAAGTGCATAAATTTTAAAAATCTTAAAAAAAAAAAAAAAACCACAATCCATATCATAATTTAAATTAAGGGAGGAAAAAAAGTATATTGGTTCTGTCATGTTTTACAAGACCAAACATCTTTCCAATCAATAAATGTAAAGAGCCATAATCCAACTGATTAAAAGAAGAGAAAACTTGGGGTGCCTGGCTGGCCCAATTGGTAGAGCATGCAACTCTTGATCTCAGAGTTGTGAGTTTGAGCCCCATGTTGGGTGTGGAGATTACTTAAATAAATAAAACTTTAAAGAAAAAAAAAAAAAAGAGGAAGCTTTACATGGATCACAAAGCAAAACTCAAGTTGGAAATAAAAGGACACAGGCAAATGTAAAAAAAAAAATTTGTTTTAACTTATAAAAGTATATCCATAATGAAGATTGAATAATTTTGAGTACCTACACTACAAGTAACACAGCATCAAAATCAATGAGGCAGAAATGACAGGAAATACAAGACAAATAGAAACATCCATAGTGGAAACTTTAATTTCCATTTCTTAACCCATGGCACAGTAACCAAACAAAATCAAGGATATGGACTACTTAAATATATCATTTAAAAGGTAGATCCAATTAATATACTTTAAACTCTAAACAATGAGA